TTTTCCTTTTCCCCTCCTTCTTTATTTCCCCCCCTTTCTTTACTTCTTTTCTCCCCATTTTCTTTCTTTTCCCTCTTCTTTTCCCCTTTCTTTCCTTCTTTTCCCCCCATTTTCCTCCTATTTTCTTTCTTTTCCCTCTTCTTTCCTCCCTTTCCCCGCTCTTTATTTTCCCCATTCCTTCCCTCTCTTCCCCCATTTCCCTTATTTTCATATTTTCTTTCTTTCCCCTCTTCTTTCCTTTTTCCCCTCTTTCCTTTTCTTTCCTCCTTTCCTTCCTTCTTTCCCCCTTGTTTTTTCTTTCTCCCTATTTTCCTTATTTTCCACCTATTTTCTTTCTTTCCCTCCTTCTCCCTTTCCTTCTTCTTCCCCTTCCCTTCTTCTTCCCCTTCCCTTTTTTTCTTCCCTTCCCATTTTCCTTCTTTTCCTCCTATTTTCCTCCTTTTCTTCTTTTCCCCCATTTTCCTTCTTTCCCCCCTGCTGTGCCGGGGGGGATGCCACCTACATCTCGGTGCCCAACAATGTCTCCCCCCACCTGGAGGCCCACGTCCAGTCCATGAAACACAAGAGGAACATCTTGGGTGATGTCTCCATGGCCAAGGGGACCTCCCCGCCGACCTCCCTCCATCCCTTCCATGCCACCGCTGCCACCGCTGCCACCCACACCCCCGTGGCCTTCACCGTGCTCCAGGACTACTGCAAGCCCTCGGCTGGCTCGCCCAAAACTCCTGACCCCATCTTCGATGCCTTGGGCTAGCAAATCAAGATGGAGGCCAGGCCGGATGAGGCGCTGACCCCCTTCTCCTTGCACCCTCACTGGACGACGTCCCCTGTTGTGGGGTGGCCCTGGGTGCCGGTGAAGCGGGGACCCCCTTCCCCATCCAGATCTTCTATTTCAACTGGAAGTGGGGTGGGGTGCAGCGCAGGACCATCAACGTGGACGTCTCACCTTCAGGTGGACTGGCCCCTGGGGCTACCACGTTGACACGGAAGAGTCACGGGCTGCAGCAATGCCATGTGGCTGTTGTGAGCCCCAACACCATGCTGGGAGGACTGAGGTGCTGCACCCAAGGTCTGGTGGAGGGGTCTGGCTTGGGGGATCTCCTGGAAGGGCTCTTCATCACCACCAGCTGCCCCATGCACCTTCTCAGCTACTGCATCCAGCAAGGAGTGGACAGTCCCTGCTCTGGAAGATCTACTCCTACATCTCAGTCTACGCCATCTGCGCCAAACCACTCCAGGACTTCCTGGAGTTTGCCGAAGAGAAGCATTGGAGGCTGCGCCACCACCCCAGGATGCCCTGGTTGCTCCTGCTGCTCACCATCACTGCTTGCTCCAGATCTTCCCGGCCTTGAAGTCCTTCTTCCTCTTGCTCAATCACCCATCCTTCACCATCTGGACATTTTTTGAAGACTATTTCAGCGAGATCTACCTCCAGCACATGGCTTTGCAAGTGGCCCTCTTCCACACGCACCTCAGGACACTGGCAAGGGAGAACAACTCACCCTGAGAGGTGCTGGCCATCCTCTCCTCCATCCGTCACACCCTCCTGGAGCACAAAGCCCATGGCCTCATGTCGCTGGGGGTGAAGGAGCTGCTGGTGGAGCAGTGGGCGGCCGGGAGGGTGGGAGAGTGTGAGACCTTCTACTGACACCTCCAGAACCTCTACGCTATGTTCCTCAACTACCAGGATGCTCGGATGGGAGGAAGTTTTCTGTTTCCAGTGGATGCAGCTCTGGGCAGCGCTGATGTGGGTGGAGATGGAGGGGTCCATCGAGTTCCTGGT